AATGGTAACCTTCCTGCGAAAATTCCTTTTTTTTTTTTTTTTTTTTTTTGTAATTAAAGTATTTTGTTTGCCAGAGACATTTGACCAATGAAGATCATATCCAGTTGTATGTATGGTCTGAATTCCTGACAATCAGCAGGATGGGAAAACAGCAGGCACTGCTGACAGAGGAGCAGGAAGGTCACTGGTGCCTTTGTAACAAATAATAGACATATCCCATGTAGTCCTAGTGACCTAACACTTATACTACACACACATAGGAACTCATTCAACTTAGCAGGCTTCCTGCACGCTGGATGAATGCTAACAAAAGATGGGAAAATGATATCTTACTTAAACACTTTACATGAGCTATGGGTTCCTCATGTGCATAGCAACGAAACTTCACCTCTCACTGCTGGCTTACTCTGCACCCACCGAAACACCTAAAAAAGCTCGTATATTGTGAAGTAAGGTCAGTGTACCTCACAGGAGGTTTGTAGGCAGCTGAATTAAAACTGAAGCATGTGCCTCAGCTTTAACTAAATCACAAGTGTTTCTGCTTTTCTATGATTGACCTTTCTGAAACACCTACCTAAATTTCCTTTCCTCTAATGTTCCTAGGTTTTAAGGTATCAAGATTATTGTAACCTTCAGGGCTGCTGTTAAATGTTAGAATATGGTTTGGCTAAACGTTCAGCTGCTTAAAAAAACAAACACACATCACATAGGTTGAACTTTTCACTGTCATTTAATGATTCTTTCCCCACTTGCATTTCTGCTGCAGAATAATACTGTAGTTATTACACCATAGTTAAACTGAAACGTGAAACCACATCTGTGATCTCTCTGGAGCTCTTTGGAGACTACAACCACAGAAAATCTGGATTTGTCTGCAGGTTTTTTATTTTATTTTCTTCTGAAGCACTGGGGGAGGAGGAGGAGGGGAACCTGAGCTCCAATATATTCTTGGTTCACCAGGCTTTGTAATTAGCTGTGACTAACAGGCACCACATGGGAATCCACTTGTAAGAAAACTTTCAAGAAACCTTCCCTATTATGCAGAATGTGCACAAAAAAAGATGGTCAAGTCCTTCTTTAATACACTAAATATTTGCATATGAAATGAATAAATTGAGAAGAGCAGGCGACTGGAAGAACACCTGGATTACAGATTTAGGTTTCAGGCATTTCAAACACGAACCGGCACTGCGTATTCGTGAGAGTACTGCACCCTGAGTAGGCAAATCCAGAGTCCCAGCGCTTCGGAGGGGGTTCAGGCCTTGCTGAGAGCCAAAAGCAAAGAGGACATGTTCAGAACACCACCAAGAAGAAAAACAGCTTTATGGCACAGATTCAGGTTTAGATGAGATCACAAGGAAGGTCACCCGATGTTTGCACTATGCTGTGCTGCAGCGCAGATAAAATGGAGTTGATGTACTGCGAATCCCGCGAGCGGACAGATGAATAGCTGTCCATCCCCAGCAAACTCTAAACCTGCGCAGGGAAGACAAAGCCTGCACTGTAGGCAGGTAGCATCTTATCAAGGGGTATCAGATAGGGATATTCTACTGCTACTAGTGCCCTTTTTCACATATGTAAGAGTTCAACAGAGTCGTTCTCAACTTCTAAATAATTTACAGGAAAAAAATTGTGCATGTAGTTACGTGCCTTCTGCAACATCTTCTTGAGCTGGTTACTTACTGGGAGAAATCACCTCCTATCTAGGCAGAAATGATACCATGAACGCCGGCTGCACCCATCTGTGGTAAGTTGCAATCAGGTGCAAAGAATTAGTAAAGGCTACTTAGTCATTAGTAACCATATTTAAGATCTGACATATTTTTCTTTCCTATGAAGTTCTAAGTAAGGGATTTCAGTTAACTCCTAAAACCATTAATAGTATACTTCATATTCAAGTAGCTGGCAAGAAAAGAAAGCGATCAGCTGTTGAGTAATGCCACAAGGGAGGCACAGACGTAAAAACCACAGGGATTAGTAACAAGAGATTACAAATGAGTTTGTCATTTTACGTTTGACGGACCAGAACATTTCCTCATATCCGATGCATGGCGTGGTGCGGGTCCCGCTTGCCCGGCGTATCAGCCCGCGTCTGAGAGAACCTAATTGACCCTCTGCTCATCAGAACCACGCTGCACTTCACAGCATCCTTCACGTGCCATCAAATCGTCATGATAACTCTTGATCCCCCGCTCACCCGACAGCTCAGCCCTCCCCTGACTGCAAAGCTTCCATATCGTTTAGGGATAGCAGTTATGCTGGCACCAGATGTGACACAGGGAATATCCTCATGAAAGGCAGACACCTGGCCCATCATTACTCTCTTCAGTTCTTCATTTCTACACAGGAATCCCCACAGATCTCCCTCCACCTGGCATTTTGGAAGTTACATTTTCTGCGATTAAAAGAATGCTTATGCAGTAGGCTGTGTATTATCTTCACACCTTGTGCTGCAAGAGACACAGACATCACTTGACATAATACCAGGCAGGAGGGGATCTTAATCTTCGCGACAAGACTTGTCCTCCTTTTGCAGGAGCGTTGGGAGAACCCACTGACAAGACACACAGATCAATCTGCTTTTAACAGCAGAGCGCTGCCTCTTCAGCAGGTGATTGGATCTCCCTTCTTCCAGGTGACTGTGTACAGTTTTACTATTTTACTATTACATTAAAAAAAAAAAGGCAGTGATGGAGTATTATTTTATGACACATAATCACAACCTCTCCTTGGTGTGTACACCTCAGAAGCAACACCGTCACACAGGGAAACAGGAGACACAAGGCCATGGCCAAGTTCATCCAGGTGATACAGGCATTTCAACTCCTTCTGGAACTTTGACATTTTTGAAGGATGGTATGTCCTACTACTTACTTTCATCTCTTTTCTGGCTCATGCATTTAATTACCTGATCCTCAGAGTTCAAAACTCAAAAGGTAAATGTACAATGAGACCTTCTAGATTCAGTTTTTCCTTTTATCTCCACCAGTAAATCCAGTCATTTCAATTGTTACTTCTAAACAGGATTAGAAAAAATAAATTATCTCACGGGTTTTTAGTCCCATGTATTAATTAATTTTTAAGGCTACCCACTCTTTTAGGAAAGATTCAATTTGATCCTTAACCCAATGAGTAAAGTGCACACAAGGCAAAATCTCCCTGTGTTTCCTCCTACAGGACAACAGCTGAGGGGCTGTCTAAAACGCATGGCAGCGGGAAGCACTGCCACACAACTAACAACAATAATGAACTGCTCTTTATTCTTGCCAGCATTCAAACTGAACGCACAGACCTGGCTCACGAGGGAGAGAGGCAGTTCCCTCGGCAGAACAGCAGTGGTGGGACAGGACGCGGGCACGGACAGGCACTCCTAGCCTTGCTCAGTTACAGGACTGCCAACCCCTCCCCAGCGTATCTGTTACAGTCCCGGGCGCAGGCTGCAGCAGCGCAGCGGGCTAGCAGCGAACAAACCGCAAAGTGGGGGGGAAAAAAGTGACCTTTGTGCCCAGCAAAGAAAAGCCTTTCCATCGCCCTCCTCCGCCCTGCCGCTGCGCACCAACGTTTGTGGGGCCGAGCAGCGCACACGTGCCTGTCCCCGTCCCGTCCCCGGGCAGAGCGTGCCTCGTGGGAACACCCAAACAGCGACTGCGGCGCAGGGCGAGGGACACGGGGACGGAGGCGAGCGGGTGTAATCATGGAAACACAAGGCTGAGTAAAGCAAGCGCACAGTGTGTTAAGGAAGCAAGTTTTACAAGGTAAGACGTTCTATAAAGGCTCTGAAACTTGCCTTCTG